CATTCTTTCCATCTGGGAGGTGTAATAGCAGATTGCATTTTTTCAACTGAGATTTTACATAAGAAGATCTAAATTCTGTGTAGATTGAATGCTGTGTTATGGTCATTTTGTGCATACCATGAGCCAGTGCTCAAATGTTTCCAGAATTCAGTTGGACACTATATTGAGAAGGGAAAAGAGGAGGAAATTCACATTTATTGAGTGCCTGCCTCCTATGCAACAGGCACATTCATATATATGGACACCCTCAGGATACAAAAAACCTTTCACTTGGCACAGTAGCACATGGTGTATGGTGCCAGCAGAGTATCAAAGAGAAGACATAGCTCCACTAGGGAGGAGGATCTAAAGTGATGACCTGTTCCAAGTCTCTATTTTGGGGGATAAAACAAACCAATTCCTACGACTATCCTATGGATAGTAAATCCTTCAATATTTATGCAGTAGTTTAACTTTTCTCTGAACTTAATACAGAAAGCTTTGGTAGAATTTGGTAGGCACAAAATAGGTGTGAAAAGCTCCATTAAAACTTCCAGGAATACAAAGAGAGTGGGAAGTATGCAAAGCTTTTAAAGAAAATTGTTAACTGCTAGAGAGGGGTTTGCAAAATCATGTACCTGCAGGCACCAGTCAGGCAACACAATGAGTGAGGCGTAGGGTGAGAGCAATGTGCTGGAGACGGCTGCCAGAACCACTCTGGCCCATGTTGGCCACATGGGAAAGTAGCCCAGGAAAGCTAGATATTCCAGTTTGTAAAACAAACAAAAGCACCTGTAGTGGGGTTCCATTTGTAGCCTGTTATAAAGCAGCAATGCTTTACCTCTAAAAGTTATGAGAGTAAATCACTATTTGACAACCAAGCTTTCAGATTTTTATTTCCAATAAACTAATTTGTAATAGACAAATAGGATTGCTTCAAATTTAAAAGCTTCTACACAACAAAAGAAACAATAACAGAGTGAAGGGAAACCTTCATAATGGAAGAAAATATTTGCAAACTATGTATCTGAGAAGGAGGTTAATATATAGAATATATAAGAAATTGAACAATGAAATAGTAAAAAAAAAATGATTTAAAAATGGACAAAAGACCTGAGTAAACATTTCTCAAAAGAAGACATACAAATGGCCAACATATATTTAAAAAACAAAAACAAAAACAAAAACAAAAACAAAACCCTGAACATCACTGGTCACTGGGGAATTGCAAATCAAAACCACAATGCTATATCAGTTCATCCCAGTTAGGATGGCTATTATCAAAAAAAAAAAAAAAAAAAAAAGAGACAAAAATGCTGGTGAGGGTGTAGATCCAGGAGAAATCTTTTACATTGTTGGTGGAAATGTGAACTGGTACAGCCACTATGGAAAACAGTATGAGGGTCTTTTAGAAAAATTAAAAACAGAACTACCATATGACTCAGTGGTCCTTGTACTGCGTTTATGCCCAAATAAATGAAATCTCTCTGTCAAAGAGGTATCTGGGGAACCAGCAGTTAGTGTAATGACTATGTCGCTGGACTCCCACGTAGTCGACTGCGGTTCGCGTCTCGGACCCGGTGGCTTAAAACTCACGCCGGGCGCGTGTGCGTGCGTGCCCAAGATCCCGAGAGGAGAATGGAGGAGAAGGGATTGCGGCGTGACCATCCCCCCTGGGGGGTGATTTCTCTCTTTCTGTCTCTATGTCTCTCTCTGTCTGTCTGGCGAGTGTACGCGCCCTATAGTGAAAACCTCTCAAAAAAAAAAAAAGAGATATCTGTACTCCCATTTTTATTGCATTACTGTTCACTGCAATAAAGATTCAAGATGTGGAATCAACCCAAGTTGATCCACCGGTGGATGAATGGGTAAAGAAGACATAGTATATATAAACAATGCAATACTCTTCAGCCAAAAAGTAGAATGACACCCTGTCATTTATGGCAACATGGATAAACTTGAAGGACACTGTGTTAAGTGAAGCGAACCAGTCAGAGAAAGACAAATATCACCTGGTATCACTTATGTGCAGAAGTGGAGAGTAGAATAATGGTTACCAGAAGCTGTGGAGGGTACAGGGAAGAGGATGTGGAGAGATTAATTAACAGGGATAGGGTCACAGATGGGAGGAATTTATTCACAGAAGAGTAATATTGTTAACACTATTGTATTGTATTATTTCAACATAGCTAGAAGAGAGGATTTTTTTTAATATTTTCACAACAAAGAAATAATGACATTTGAGATTTTAGATATGCTAAGTACCCTTATTTGATCATCACACAATGTATACATACATGAAAACATCATACTGTAACGTATAAACATGTACAATTATTACATGTCAAAAAAAAACCTAGCTTTTTGTCTATGAGTGATATGATACATTAAGACCTCCTTTCTCCTCTCATGGGTACGTGAGAAATCTTTGGTGAGCATTCTAAATTTGTGAAATGTCCATTAGTAAAAAAAACCTGCTTAGCTTTTTTTTGTCTACTCCTTTGTCACCTACACATTTTTTTTTTTTTTTTTTGGAGAGGTTTTTGCTATAGGGCATGTCACTCACGAGAAAGAGAGAGACAGAGAGACAGAAAGTGAGAAATACCCCCCAGGGGGGATGGCCACACAGCAATCCCTTCTCCTCCATTCTCCTCTCGGGATCTTGGGCACACACGCACACACGTCCAGCGTGAGTTCTAAGCCACCGGGTCTGGGACTCAAACCGCAGTCGGCTACATGGGAGTCCAGCGACATAGCCATTATACTAACTGCTAGTCTCTCACCTATACATTCTTGCTAAAATTTTCACTAAGCCTTTTATTTTGTTTCTATAACACCAAATAACTTTTCATAAAATATACTTAGGTGTCATTTCTCAACTCCATCACCTTAGATAGATAGCCATGGGACTAAATGCTGTCCTAGAAGATGTGGGCCAAAGCTTTGAGTAGGGTTTCAGGAAAGCCTTCTCTGTCTTTCCTGCCTCCTGTCCTTGGAAATCATGACCAGTACAGTGAAGTGGTATTGGGACTGGATGTTGTATGCTGAGATTATGGAATGAAAAAGAGGGGGCTAGCAGTTAGCATAATGGCTTTGTTGCTGGACTCCCACGTAGACGACCACAGTTCGAGTCCCGGACTTGGTGGCTTAAATTCACACCAGGCACGTGTGTGTGCGTGCCCAAGATCCCGTGAGGAGAATGGAGGAGAAGGGATTGCGGTGTGGCCATCCCCCCGGGGGGTGATTTCTCACTTCCTGTCTCTCTGTCTCTTTCTGTCTTTCTGGCGAGTGCATACTCCCTATAGCAAAACAAAAACAAAACAAAACAGAACAAAAAAGACAATGCGCCTGGGTCCTGATGGCTGTGGAGGGCACGTCACATCTCGGTTACCTACTCTTGAGCCCACTAGATGTTTGAAAAAAATACATATTTTTAAAAATTCTTATTTTAACTTTTTCTAATATGCAGCTGAACACAGTTCTAACTCACACAGTCCTAAAACTTTTTTTTTTTGTAAATTATAGAATACTTTTTTCTTTCATAAAAAGGATACAGAAAATAATGAAACATTATGTCCTCACTACCTAAGCTACGGAGATATTAACGTTTTCCTTCTGCTCTCTCTTTAAACAACTCTTATTCCTCTTTGTATAATTTCTTTGGCTCTTTTAGGGCATGTATTCTATACGAACATTTATGTAATCATGATTTAAAAAAAATGCCTGTTGGGATCCTAATTCGAGTCGCATTACATATATATGTCAATTTGGGGAAATTTACTTTGTTATGGTTTTTAGATTTCTCATCCAAGGATGTAACGAGTCTTTTTATTTGTTCAGATCTTATTTTATTTTCAATGAAATTTTATGATTGTCTTTATAGGTTCTGCAGTTTTCTTATTTGATTGATTTAGAAATATCTCACAGTACTTAAGTTGTATTTTTATGTACTGTGTTAACTGTTTCTGCAGCCCATAGAAAATAGAAACAAAGAGCCACTGAAGAAGACACAGGGCTGTGTGCAAGACAAAAAACTTTGAATGTATGCTTGCAGAGTGAGTTCTTCTGCTCTCCAACACTATACGAGGCTGGGACTGCAAATGAGAGCAACTTGGAGCCTTCAG